TAAGGTTAAGGTTAAGGTTAAGGTTAAGGTTAAGGTTAAGGTTAAGGGTAAGGTTAAGGTTAAGGTTAAGGCTAAAATTAAGGTTAAGGTTAAGGTTAAGGTTAAGGTTAAGGCTAAGGTTAAGGTTAAGATTAAGGCTAAAATTAAGGTTAAGGTTAAGGTTAAGGTTCCCCGACACATTTGGCATTAAACATCAGTCTACATATACTATAAGTCCAGCTGATCATGACAGCTCTTACCGAACAAACCTAACCTACTTTTAAAATTTTCGGAAATTTGCTCCCACATGAAAATTCTAAGACACTTGTTAAAATTCCTTTCCAAAAAACGTTGTATTCCTATTACCCTCATAGCTCACCATATTATGTATATAAGTCATTTTTACTTAACTATAAACAATAACCTTAAACTCCATTTCAATCTCAATCATAACCTTAACCTTAACTCAAAACTTAACCTCAGTCTTAATTTTAACCTTAATCTTAATCTTTACTTTAACATTAACCTTAACCTTAACCTTAAAGACGCAATCGAGAACCACCATAAAATGAGCATTATTTTAGACATTCAGAAGCTCGAGTGGTAATTCTGGTTATACTTTAAAAAGTAAATACACATGCATTTGTACACAGAGAGAAAAAAAGGGTTGTAATACTAAGAAAAATGTTATGAAATCACTGAGGGATTAAAACGCATAGTTTAAGTGAATATTTTTAATTTGATTGTCGTTTTAAATTGTTCGTATGTAAAAATATTACTTTCATACCACGCGAGCGTGCTTCGTGTTGATGCAAACTCAACATTTGAAAGCAAATTTACATGTCTGGCTGTAGCTGAGTGTGCAAAGATGCTTGCCACAATTTGTTAATTTCCAGGAGTCAGGGCTTTGAGCCCTGCCCTGCCCTTGCAGCCAGCATGGAAATACATTTTTTTTTTTGTTTATCTTAGTAATGAAAAAGTATTCGTGAAGTGCAAAACACTGCGTTTTAATATGGGCGTATTTGAATGTAATATTTCCATACTACCTAATCATGATAAAAAAATAAGAAGGTAGAACCGCTGAGAGGAATTTTTCAAATTCTTGACGTTTGCAAGCAATTTAATTTTAAACTTTTACACACATTCTCATTTTAAATCTCAAGCAACATCAACTTTGAACAATTCCCAACAAGCATTTCAGTAAACGTTTTTAAAAATAACTTAAATTAAGTTTGCTATAATAAGCGTTAAATAAGCATTTTCAATATTAAGCTTATTAAAAGTTTTTTCAAATAAACCTTTAATAAGTTTTGAGAGCGAATGTTTATAAATAACCTAAACTTATAAATGAAATGCAAATGCCAACGACATGAAATAGTAAATATAACAATTTTTCAATCGTAAGTGACGTGTTTACGTTTTTTAAAATATATTATTAAAAGAAAAAATTAAATAAAACCGATGCGGTAAAAAAAAAATCCAATCCAGGACCCGCTGCGCTAATCGGTGGAGCATTCGAGTCTTCAAATGTTGAGTTCTCCTTATCCTTTCTTAGTTTAACATTCAATTAAAAATGTATTACATTTTTTTCAGAAAAGTTCATCAATGAGAATGGCGGCGATGAAGCGGAATATATAGCTGCATCGATGTCGTTTTTCCAATTTGCCAATAACCGCATGTAATGGAAAGCATGCAACAAGATGTAATAATTAACTTTTTTATGCTTAATTTTTGTGTGTTATCGTGAATTTGTATGCTAAAATGTCTATTCCCTATTTATATTTTCGCGACTGTAGATGAGTCCGCCGAAAATTCGCATTTCGTTTAGTTTCTAGATGTTAAGCAATCTATGTATGAGTTTTTAATGAAATATCTTTAAATAAAGGGTTATAAAAATGTTTATAAAAAGCTTTCTTTTGAAAATTTTTAGTAAGTTTATATTCATACGCTTATAAACAACTTTTTTTGAACCTTTATTATAAGTTTACACTTTTACGCTTATAAAAAGCTTTCTTTTGAACATTTATTACAAGTTTATATTTCTACGCTTATAACCAATGTTCCTTTTCGATTATATTACGCTTACTTTCAAGCGTTTTATAAACAAAAAATCAACGTTTTGTAAGCTTAATGTTTATAATTGAAAACTTAAAAAAAACTTTCTTTAAGTTTATTTTGCTTGTTGGGTTCCTTTTTTTTACTCTCAATTTTATATGATTTTAAAAAGTTGGCAAACTTCAAAAAAAAAAAAAATCATGGCCGACGAATTGAGAGGACGGTTTTACCTTACTATGTTCTTATCATGCTACTTAATTACACAAATTTATTACGATTATAAAGAGCCTCAACCCACTCTTTCATGTGCGCATTTTTTTTTATTTAATACGTTTTTTCTTAAGTTCTAATTTTTTTTCCTCTCAGTGTATGTAGAAATAACTAAGCATACATATGAGTGAACGAAATAAGTTTGCAAATGCACATTCAATTAGCATAAAGCTAACAGTAATACATATACGTAGTAAACTTAGAAAACATCCGAGGAAAATCCAATCAAAAGGT